ATTGTGTCAAATCCTTTACCAGTCTATTAACGACAAACAAAACTAGTTTAGCATACATGTAAATTATGTAGCAATAAAACGATGTTAAAAACGACGAACAATTAAACACGAACCAAAATGCACAACCATCCAAACGCGGACATTGAATTGTTTTAGAAGAATGACACTCAATGAATATTAAATAATAAAATAATTCTCTTTTTATATTTTTCACGAATTCAATAAAGTGCAAGAATTGCCGAACCGAATTTATTTGCTTGGCAGGTTTTCTCCTTTTTCACGTTTTTCTCATCATAGCATTTCCTTTTTAGTATTGGTGCAGCTGTGTGTCCCACTTTCATTAATTTTTACAGGTTCTTCAATTGATAATAACTGATTTATTGTACTTTTCCTCAACGAACGTTAACTAACCATTTACACTTGCGTTATTATTTCCTTGCAATTATTTTTATGAAAACAAATTTTCAACAAAAAGAAAATACACTTCTTTTTATGACGCGTAAATAAAGACCACAGCCCCTCATATAAATTAATCGCCGTTGGTACTTTACAAATGGCGATGGCATTGCTCGTAAACGTCAAAAACATATCGGACTAGTCGATAAATACCTTAGTAACGAAGACGTATGTCGATTGTTTAATAAGCCGAATAAAGTTGTGCCACTTCTAGGAAAGCAAAAATAATTTATTTGGATGCATTTATATTAATCTATTGATTATGTATTCAATTAATATGGAGAAAAGGAAAACCTATATATAATTTCCGACATTTTACGATTTTGAGGATAATGTGGCGTTTCCACTGCACTTGATTCGCTCTCTGTTCGTTGTTTGACCCTTAACTATGAAAAAACTACCTAATTCTTCACACAAAATTTCCTGAGCGAACACTTATATTTGTACGTTGTTCAAATCAAATCACTCTCAGAACAACGAAAAAATATGTCCCATCCCTAAAATATGAGAGCATTTATCGGAAAAATAAATTATGACATTTAAAAATTAAAAATAGAAAAATTTAATGAAATTTTAAAAATTTTTGGGAAGACTGAAAATTATAAATGAAAACTACAATGTTGAATGGCGTATGTACATTCAAACGAAAGTAAATTTTGTTTTCTCTCTCATTCGAGGTGCGCATTTTGTCCACGAGTTGAAATTTCACACAGAAAACTGCAAACAAAAGAGGCAATATTTTCAAAATGTTTCTATCGGCAGAAAAAATGTTTGACAAGAGTCTCTCCAGCAGAATTTAAAAATGGAAAAACACAAAAATATGTTCAAAATGTCAACATTTACACAAAAAGTTGAAAACATGAATGAAAATTGTAAAATTAATGATGTAAAAAATCTTTGGGAGGAAAACAATAATTTCTTTTATTCATATAAGTGAGAATTTCATGTATTTTCGTATAAATTCCCATTAAAATCAACAAACAAAATTTTTGGAAAAAGGAATTATTTTACTATGAATTACGAATCGTGCCGTATGAACGGGTTAATTCGTGTACCTAATTCTGAGAGCGAACAACGTTGTTAGGTTTCCAATGGAAACATGCTATAAGCTAAATGACGAGCTGATGACAGCATTTACTAAAACAATAATCGGCACTCATTCCTCGTTTACTCAGTGAACAAACAATTGTTTTTTGACGAGATTGTGTTTGTAGAAACCTACTCGTTGTTTTTCTTTTAATATTTTTCTCGCGTTTCGGCTCTGGCTCCGGTCCTTGTTCTTTCTCTTATTATTCCTATATTCCCATCAAGATGACAACTTTGAGGCCTTTTACATGTGACGATTTGTTTAAATTTAATAATGTGTAAGACTGAATAAGGCTCATATATCATAGTACCACACTAAGAATACTATTCTTTTCATTGTCGGAGTATAGTAATTTTGATCCGTTGACTGAAACGTATGGGTTATCTTTTTACACCCAGTATCTTTCTCGATGGCCGGAATTCTTTCAACTGGCAGAATCACCTAGCGGCCAAATCATGGGCTACAGTAAGTTGAGCATATTTTGTTTTATGCAACAACTCATAATTGTTTTCTTTCAGTAATGGGCAAAGTTGAGGGTCATATGGAAAACTGGCACGGTCACGTCACAGCTTTAACCGTTTCGCCTGACTATCGCCGATTGGGTTTAGCTGCTCTTTTAATGAACTTTTTGGAGGACATATCGGAAAAGTAATTAGTAACACATGTAAAATTCCTTTTAAACTTTATTATTCTTTATTTCAGGAAACGTGCGTATTTTGTTGATTTATTTGTGCGGAAGAGCAATAAAATTGCTATAAACATGTATTCAAATTTGGGATACATAGTTTATCGGACTATATTGGATTATTATTCTGGTGATCAGGAGGAAGACGCTTATGGTAAGTACTGTTTCGAGTGTACATTAAAAAAAAACTATAAAAATAAATTATGCCCAAATCAGACTTGCATTTATGTAACTAATTTGAAGACCTATGATATTCTCAGATATCTAATTCTTCAACATTTTAATAATTAATTTTATTTTACATTTGCAGATATGCGAAAAGCTCTTTCAAGGGACACCGAAAGGAAATCTATAATACCGTACACGCAACCAGTACGACTGGAAGATTTAGATATGCATTAAATACGATTGTCTTGAAACTGACTTTTATTTAAGGATCTAAATTAACATTAAATCTTTATGTTCTTAACAATTGTTTTAGCCTGCCGTTTATTTAAAATATGTTATTAATACTTTGTTTCGACTAACAGTTCGTATTTCAATTATATAAAGGTGTTTTCCAAAAAGAGTTGTGCACATAAATGTATATAACACTGTTTTATCCCGACTTGCACCTTGTTAATAATTTCAGTTTCCAAAAAGTTGCACAAATTCATGAAAATATACAAAACCAACGGTAGTAGTATAAGTATAAAGCGACACAAAAGCGTATTACCAAATAATTAAGTCTACCGACAATGTTCCTCATATAAGTTCTACCAAGCTTTCTTCTAGTTCTTAACATGTCTGCGAGGAGTATAGACTTATTTAGATTGAACAAATCAGTTGCAGGAATTTATATGGGTGGTAGAATACAGGAGAGGATCAATTATGATGTGTATAAACACATAACATATAAAATCAGAAGCAATTGAAGACGATTTAAGAAATATTCCATTGTATATTGATTGCATTTTGTTTCCAATTCCATCAACAAACTTAGCGTCATTGTAACTAGCATTGTTGTTGATAAACTATCAAGGTACTTCAAACGTATTTTTTCCCACAGCTAATATATTGCGTTCAACACACGAAACTATACCCTACTTAACGTAACTAACGAGTTGATGATTCTATTAAGTAAATGATACAGTGTCGTTTCTCTAGGTTATATGTTTTAAATATTTGTTTTTTAAGTGATGAATATGTATTTTCTAAAATTCACAGGTTTCCAAAACCGAACTGCGACATTACATGGAAAAGACTAATTATTCATGCCAACAGTCTGGCGCGTATTAGAGAAAACTTTGTGTCGAAATAAAAGTATAATTGAATAAACAAGCAACCACTAAGCCTAAGATATATCTGTTTCATGGTACAGAGGCAGCAGTCACACATATTTTGCTTCTATATTGCAATATAAATTCTGCGTTTTTGCTGCATGTATAATCCAAAAATTATATTCTTTTTTGCAAAAGCAACATAAGTGGGCAAATACAGTCCTTGTGGTTCTCCTTGCTATGTCATTGTACTATTAAAGTGTTCTCCTTAGGAAAAATCTGCTTTTTGGGGAATATTGGGCCACTCTAGATACATTTTACAAGAATCTATATAATTGCCCATTTTGCAATAATATTTACATCCGCTTTAAAACTGTTTGCAATATTTTGAAAAGTTTGAAACAGATTTTTAAGCAAAGAAAAAAAAATACTTATATGGAAAAAATCAGTTTTCAGAAAAATCTAAATTTTCCATTCAAAAATAAATTCTTAATGTAAATCATTAAAAAATCGTAAAAATATATTTGATCTTGTAGTAAATTAAATAAAAAAAATATAAATATCCATTAAATTTAGCGTACTGGGTAAGGAATCCCAAATTTGTACTTCTGTTAACGGAAAATTGAACATATATAGGTTTTCTCGTTAATACCATGGACCAAATGACATTGAGGTCTTCAAAATACATATAACTTCTCAGAAAACGTAACTAATAAAGTGATTTTTTTAATTCTGTGTAATTATCAACACTCTTTTTATGACAATGTACAGTAGAGCCGGGTTCTTGACCCGATTTTATAATCGAAAAACAGTCGATTTTAATTTATTGTTATTTGCTCATAAAATCGTTAGCCAAATTTTAGATCCCTACTTTAATAAGCATTTTTCATTATTGGTTTAGTGTATTGTCACGCAGAAGTGGAGATTTTTCGGTGCCTTTAAAACGTTTCAGGAGAAATACAAAAAGCAGCGGAAAATATTGTTGGTGTATACGTGCGTGGATAACAGCAAATTAATAACAGCTTTTGGAACGGACTTGTATTTTGAGACCTTCGCCGTTGCCATTATCAGCGATACCACCACTATAGCATACACACAAACATTTTAAACGAACACACACATCAGAAAAAAGTCGTCAGAAGTGCCGCACAAACATCGCAGCTGCCACTAAAATACAAAACGCATTGGTTTGTGTGAGTGCTTCTGTGATATACAGACAAGCAACCACCACAATCAACGCCAACAAATTGTACTAAAGCAGCAGGCAGAAAAAAGAAGCATTTATCATCGAACACATTAACATCAAAGAGAGCTCAACATTTTAAGCTGGTAGCTTGATTTTTCTTGTGCCTGTCTTCTCTACACAAACTACGAGCCGCCATTAAATAGAAGCAACAACAAACGAATGTAGTTTATATCTTCGTTCGAAAAGCCATCTGTCATTTCGTATTCGTCGTTTGTTTTATTGTACGTTGCCTATTATTTTCGATTTGCTTTATTTCGAGTTTGTGTCCTTCTGGTGTTACATATTTTTCTTCATCGCTATATTTTGTGTCGCCCATTAAAAATTTGCAAAGTGAAACAGTAGCAAACATGGCTAATACCGGTAAAGATACGGCTTCCTTCTTTGAAAATGGCACAACAGAGCAATTCGACTATTGCTACAAATTATATCCAGAAGTGCTAAAATTAAAAGCAGAAAAACGTAATAAAAAACCTCAGGAATTAATACGACTGGACGAATGGTATCAAAACGTACTACCCAAACTTATAAAAGAACGAGGGAAGGATGCACATATGGTTTACGATGAATTAGTCCAGACGATGAAGTGGAAACAGGCACGTGGAAAATTTTATCCTCAGCTAAATTATCTTGTTAAAGTAAATACACCGCGAGCTGTTGTGCAGGAGACGAAAAAGGCTTTTCGCAAATTGCCTAACTTGGAGCAGGCTATTACTGCATTGTCAAATTTAAAAGGCGTCGGTACAACTATGGCTTCAGCGTTATTAGCGGCTGCTTGTCCCGATTCGGCTCCCTTTATGGCAGATGAGTGTCTTATGGCCATTCCAGAAATTGAGGGTATAGACTACACAACAAAGGAGTATCTCAATTTTGTACAACATATACAATCGACTGTCACACGTCTGAATGCCCAGGCTGGCGGTGATAAGCCAGTTTGGTCGCCTCATAGGGTTGAGCTAGCACTGTGGGCTCATTACGTAGCTAACGATTTGAGTCCAGATCTATTGGATGAAATGCCTAGTGGAAAAGGTGGAGGATGTGCAGCTACAAAAAAGAGTAATGGAAGTTCAGAGAATGACAATGTGCGAAATGCTGGAAGTGAAGATACAAATGATGCCGACGACGACAGTGCAGGTGAGTGCAACCAATTGTAGCAATAGAAAACATATTTTACGGACTATTTCAATTCTTGTTTACAGGTCGTGTGGAATCAACCAATATTGCAACTGAATCTGAAAATGAAAATACTAACCCTACACCTCAGGATGGAGATTCGAATTTTGTGTCAAATGATTCATCACAGGAACCCATTCTTGATGAGAACACTACACAAACAACAGCAACCACAACTTCTGACGACGGAGAGGAAGCTACCGTTCGTACGCCATTGGCTTCTGATTCCGAAAGCAATATGGAACCACCAGTGGCAGTCACAGCTATAAAGAATAGTTCACTACTGCAAAAAGAGGCAGATATTAATAATCCAACAACATCAAATGGAAACGGCGCATTATTGGTTGCAGCTTCAGCAGCAGGTTTGGATGGTGAAAATAGTGACAGTAATTGTTTGCGTGACTCTGAAGGCGACGATGAAGAGGCATCTCCTGTAATTAATCATCTCACAGGTAATAACTATTACAATGGATTAAATACAAAAGTAGGTAATCTTCATTTTGTTTTTCACGTTATGTTACAGGTAACGACACCACTACTCATAGCGGAACCTGCGCTACTGCTGCCACAATATTAGGCCAGAAGAGGACACTCAACTGCGCGGATGAAGCATCGTTAGAGGATTCAGCACAACCAGAAATGAAAAAAATACGTAGTGACTAAACAATATTTTAGAATTTGAAGAAGCGGTTAACTCGCAAAAATAATTATTATACAAATAAAGAACAAAATAAAATCAACCAATTGATGAGCGCTAAAAAGACAAAACGGCATACTTAGTTTAGGATAACTATAAAAGCGCTTGTTATTTATAAAGGAAATGCAGTTTAAAACACAAAACACTATCTTAGTACCCCCAACATACTATTAAGAAATTTTTATTTTCATTGAACAGAAACATAAACTTAGCTCTCCATTAAATAAAAAAATAAGCAAAACATTTGTCAACAGAGTAAAATTAAACATTTTGGATCACCATTGCTAGCGTTGCCTTTCTAGCAAAGTTAGACAAACGGGATTTTAAATATCTTCTAATTTATCAGTCTAAAGAATGTAATATTTTTTAATTTAGCTTTAGTAACATCTATAATTTTAATATTTTTATTTCACACATATAATAGTTTTCCCAAATAAAAAAGCAAACTATTTACTATAAGCTATAAAAAACATAACTTCATTTCAATTAGTTTGTGCTAATAGGCTATCTGCTCCCAATTAATATTGATTTCTCTGGCATGCAGTAATAAGAAACATAGGCGGCTTTCTTAAGAAACCATAGCATTTTTCCAAATAATTTTTTTTAATAATTTATTGCATAAAAATACCATGAACATATATTGGTAGTACTTACAACAAATGCCTGCAGAAAATGTATACAAAATCTACTAGATAATTAGTGAATACATCGGAGATTTTATATAATAATATTCCAATTTCTCTCATTAAACACCATAAGCTAACGTCTTAATTCCAAATAAATAAATGTGTATATTACTTTTGAAATCTTACAGCACCAAACATACAAGATACTTAAATATCTATTCATTCACTACATGCTCCTAATAATGCGAGTGGTACTTGTGAATTGTATGAGGATGTACGTGCGCATGATTGTGATCGTTTTGAGCAGCTATACTAGCTTGCTGGAAGATATTTTGTATGTCGGCTTCAGAGAGATCAAGCAAATTGTTGCTGTACCTGTATTCCTGTCGACCCTTTTGATTTGTTGCTGGTGGCAAGTAACCTAAATATACAAAAGCTCTTGAGTATATTCCAACCCCATAAATTCCTACTACTTACCTTCTGCCGGTGTGTTGCCGTAAGGTGGCAAAAGTGTATTTGAAGGCCGATTTATTTCACTTTGTACAGTTGGAGGCTGATATAACACTGGCTTCCATGGCTGTTGCCCAGGCTCTGGCTGAATAGCTGGCAGTTCAGGTTCTGGTTGAGCGGCCGCAGTTGGTTGAACGGGAATCTGAGGCGCAGCTTCATTGCTTCCGAAATCTGGCTGGTTCTGATTTGGTCTTCCACCAACAGGCACAAACGAGGGAACTTGAACATTCGGATTATAGTTGACAAATGTGGGTGGCTGTTGTGCAATTGCTGGCTGAACGTTAACGAATGTAGGTGGCTGTTGTGCAATGGCTGGCTGAACGTTAACGAATGCAGGCGGTTGTTGTGCAATTGGTGGCTGAATGTTAACTGGATAGAAAACATTTGGAGGTTGCGGTTGGGGTGCGACAACAGGCACATTTGGGACAGCTGGTGGCACCACAGGCGCTGCACTCTCTCCACTAACTACAGAAAATGTTGGAGGACTTCCAAACGACGGTGTAGCCTGAATATCAGGCAGTACTGGACCTAAATTACCCGAAGGAAATTGCGCTACTACACCAACGGAAGGAACCGGTTGAGCAACGGGAGCTGCTTGCACAAATGTCTGCAAAATTATATCAATAGTTACATGTCACTTTCATTATCTAACAAATTATTATATATCATTATTTAAATATTTTACTTGGACAACAGGCTGTATTGGTTGCGCTGGAATATGAGGAATTGCTTGAGCTGGAACATGATGAACTGGTTGAATGCTATTTAAACCATGTGCAACAGTACCATATGCATGAACCGCTTTTACAGGAACAATGCTTTTATGATGAGGGTAATTTACGCTGTAAGACTGCACAACTGCTCCTCCAGGTCTGATGACGTATGGTACACTAGCAGCAGCTTGGTGTGCGTGTACTGGACTCAACGTCGACACCGCTGGCAAGACAGTCGAGCTAACAGCGGCTACACCAGATGGAACAACAGCTTTGTAGTGAATTCCACTGTGATACTTAATTGATCCTGGAACATGGATATGGCTGGCGGCAATCGGGGCTACAGAAAACGAAGTGGGCAAATGTACACCATAGCCGTAATGGGCAGCGTAAGACTTAGGCCATGCTGCATGAGATGCTAACGTTCCATAGTGAAAAACGCCTCGCTTGTGTACCTCCTTGCTCTTCTTGCTGGACCCCGATTCAGCTATGTCTGCTTCTAATTTATCCTCGCCTGCTTTCGAGTAATTATCTTCCACTACTGCCTTTTTCCCATCTTCCTTACTAAGTTTCTCTGCATTGCTGCATGTAAGTAATACAACGGCTGCCACAACCAGCGTAATCCTCTTCATTTCTCTCCTTATATTGTAGCCTTTTTAATCCTCGGCTTAAAACTGTTGTCGTTCCAAATATCACTGCGAAAAACCACCTATCCGATGTCAAGGTTTAGCCTCAACCCTTTAATTGTTGCGTGCGTAATAAACAACAGTTCCGCATTATGTGGTGTATATATAGAGAAAAGTCTTTTTAAAATATTTAACTACAAACAATGCTACTTGCCTATCATACCAAGACCACAATATTGTACACCCACCTTCGTCGACATTTCTTTCATTCGTTTCAGCTTCGCCTACCACACAAAATTCGATATTTTGCAACCTGACGAATCTACTGCGCATAATAAACCAACTACTTGACGCATTTTTGCATACAATATTTCAAATTTATCCACCACTACAATTTTGTTAAGTTTCACTATTTATTGCTATATTTCCAATTCCTTTCACGTCGTCTTCTCTCCGCTACTATTGACGCACTGCCTGCATATGAGACATGCAAACCAACAATTTTTCGACTCATTTCCCACTTTTCTTGCATTCCATAATTAGTATTCAACTTGCGTACTTTATAGACATTATGATTTCATTAATGGCAATTTATGTTTTATTTTACAATAAACATTTTAGACCCAATCCAAATATTTGTATTATTCGCACGTGATGAAAACACATTGCATTCAAACCTACCATTTAATTTCGAATCGATTGCTATTCAATTTTATAACACAGACCAACAATGCATTATGTAATAAAACTGCTTTAGGAAATCGATTAGACGTGAACAAACGACTGCAGCTATATACATATCTATGTGGATGATGGTAAACTGACCTTCGACAAACAGACACCATCATATAATATTTCTGATCCAAATTACCTGTACTCTAATTGTTCAAACAAAAGTAATTTCCCAAATCATTCTTTCTGACCATTGTAACTCTACATCACCCTTCAACTATACTTCTAAAAGCTAAGCGTGTATCCTGAATACCATACCAGTTTTCATTTATTGTATCCATAAACTCATCATGTCCATTACAATACATTGTGGACCTCGGCCTTCTTTACATTCCTGTGTACCATCGAGAAGCATATTATTTTGACCCACCATAATTTCCCACCTTCTACACTTGACTTCCACCAATAAGCATTACCAAAAGTCCCTAATAGTTACTTCAATGCTCTGTCCAAATTGCCCTACCTTAAACTCTTGGAATCGCAAATGCATTGTACAATGCTATCCCCCTTCGTTTATATTCCAAGCTACCAAATTCAATGTACACTCTACTTCTATTTTTTTACACATTTCAGAGAAAGGAAAATGCCATTTTTAATCAAATATGCAATTACTTTTTTACTGAATATCTTTAGATTTGATGCGCCATAGTTGCTACACATAATAAATATTATCGGCCGATGGTCTTGCCTCCAAATATCTTACAATGTCTTGTGTGTTGCATCACTTATTATTGCTCCTCCTTTGGATTTAAAAACGTATTCTATCCCTATGCCACCTCTAACCATTCCTAACCACATCATTTTGATCTAATAAAAGAAAATTTTAGCGTTAATGTACGTGTATTTTAATTCTGAACTATGTATAATTATTGTATCAATTGCTTTTACTTTACAATAAAATTTGGCTGAAACATAAACTATTTTTCAATTTTTAATGACAAATTTGATGGTATAATAATGGTAAGTAAAAGGCACAAATTACATTATACTTTTTCGCTACGTTTATGCCAAGCGAATTCCATGATTTCTTATTATAAAATTCCTCAAAGATACGTTAATGTACCAGAATTTCACTAAGCGTCCTCCTTTGCCAGATAAAAATAAGATGCACTGCTAATGTCGTTGCCAAAAGAACGATCCTTCAGCGCCTTCTTTCTCTTGGTCACAAGTATCCAATATCGCATTTAATTCGCCTGCAAAAATAAAATAAGTTTAGCAAAAAATGTACGTATCCTCTTTGTTAATGTATTACGCATTACCTTAAGTACTTGCATTGAATTTAAATGAAGGAAATTCCATAGATTTCCTCGATAAAATCCGTGGCGCTGATGTAATATCCGATTGTCCATTTTATCCGTCAATTGCAATATAAACACCCGTGATATTTGATGATAAACTTCCAGTGCATTATTCTCAGATGAGAGACAATTTCACAAGCTGCATTTTTCGAGATTCCAGTGGAAAGTTTATCGATTTCATTTCCACCAATTCATTAGCACTATAGTCCATCATCTTTCCTAATATCTAGCCGTAATTTAATCCATTTGGATGTTGATTGAAGCACATTATACGCCATAATAGCGTCGCAAAAAGTGATCCTATTACTTCCACCATTGCATTATCTGAAAAACAAAATGGTTGTTAGCAAATTACCCATGCAAAAACATTGCTTTCCTCACATTTGTTCGTTTTCTTACTTGCAAAAACACATCTTTATGCTTTTCATAGTCCATTTCACTATGCAACCGTATTATTTTTTCTATTCCTCGCCTAAAATCGCTTTTTTGCGTTGCAATATTACATACTTTCCAAGAGCAAATAGTTTTCTTCATTCATTTAAGCTTTTTTGCTGTATTTTCCCAATTATTTCTCTTTCCTTTACTACCAATCTCATTTTCTTTTATTCCGCATATTCTGACATTTCGTTTCTCTTTTGTGTGTGTATGTGTGTTTTTGCCGCCATTTTGGATTATCCCCCACGCCATCACAAAAAAATCGTCGGCGTCAACTTTCCACCGCCGCCAACTTACTAACGCCGTCAAGTACCACCGCCGTCAAAATACTAACGCCGTCAAAACCACCGCCGTCAACTTTCTACCGCCGTCAAATTGTTAACGCCGTCAATTACCAACGCCGTCAACTTTCTACCGCCGTCAAATTATTAACGCCGTCAATTACCAACGCCGTCAACTTCCTACCGCCGTCAAATTACTAACGCCGCCAAATTATCGCCGCCGTCAACTACCGATAGTTATCGATTTCTTACCCGCCTTTTCATCGCCATTTATCGCCCGAAATCGATTTTCAGTACCCTATTTCCCAATTTGGCGGCATATTTTATTTTTCACTGCGATTATTTAAGCTCTCGTTCCAATTGGTGAAAATAAACCAAAATATATAAAATAAACGCGCGGAATTTATTATACATTAAATAAGAAGTGATTAACAAGTGAAGTGCAAGTGTTTACATGTGAAGAAAAGTGTTTTTTTCATTGTTTTACCATCCAATCTTGTGCTCATTTCCAGGAAAAGCCAGACGCCAAAGAATTTCTATGGAAATCGTCAGAAGCACTTATTCTTATTTAAGGTAAACTTTACAAGTTCGAGATGGCAATTATTTTAGACTTGCTGAGGGGAAAATTCATCGCTATTGGATGACGATCAGCTGGTGAGAGATGTGGAATCAAGGATACCTTCGTTACCGATTGCATACTGGAGTAAAAATAAGAACTTTCTTCAACAGAAATCGTCCACGTGCGCCAAGTACCCTTCTATATTTGAACTGGAATTCAATAATATCTACTGGCAAACGATGCGGACCAGCAATGGGACATTTCAATTATTTGGAGCCTATTACGATATTCGAAAAAATTCATTACTGGGCCCCACGGTACGAATTTTAGGAATGATTGATCGCATCGAACCAAAAGTAAAGACCTATTGCCAGTTTTGGTTCGATGGCCAAAAAGAACCGTTTATTGTCAAGACCTATGAATACAAGTACATCTGGTACAACAAATGGGGAAATTACAAACAGGGCATCTACCAGCCGTATTTGATCGCGTGTCAAATACCTAAACCCTTCCACGGTGTGGTGCCCAGTTCGGTGTCGATGGTTGAAAAGGAATGTGATACGGCCACAAACAATTTAAGAGTTATATACAACCGACCCCCCGACGACCAGAAAAAAGGCTTCGCGGTTTGCGTCAAGGGCTTAGACTTCTTGTATGACGATTTGTCAGTGCGATTAATTGAGTGGATAGAACTTCTAAACATGTTGGGGGCCGATAAAATTTTCTTTTACAATCTACAAGTCCATCCAAATATTTCCAAGGTATTGAATCACTACGAACAGGAAGGCAAAGTGAGAGTAATTCCCCTGACACTGCCGGGTGGCCAACCAAACGTGCCCGGATTCCAGCACCTCTACTTAACTAAAAAGACTAATCACAAGCGACAGAACGAAGTTATACCCTATAACGATTGTTTGTACAAAAATTTATACCTTTACGATTATATAGCGCTGCTAGACATCGACGAAGTTATTATGCCGAAAGGCAATTTCGTTTTATGGTCGGAATTGATGGCCAAGGTAGTCCCAGACTCCCTCAAAGTCAGACCGGAGGGATACCACAGTTTCAATTTTCGCAACGTGTACTTCCTGGATGACCAGCAGCATGAACACGGTTGGCACAAAGACATACCGAAATACATGCACATGCTGCAACACGTCTACCGGGCCAAAAACTACACAAAGCCAAATCAATACGTCAAATGTTTTCACAATCCCGAGAAGGTGCTGACCCTGCACAATCATTTTCCACTGGCATGTCTAGGGGGTGTGTGCAAGTCCTACCCTGTAGATACTAAAGATGCACACTTGCAACACTACCGGGCAGATTGTGTCAATACCTTAAAGAAATCTTGCGAAGAGTTCCGAGAAAACTCCGAGGAGGACAAGACCATTTGGAAATACAAGGATGAGTTAATACGTCGAACCATAAAAGCGTTGGACACGTTGGGATTCTTCCGCCGTTCATCGACCATGTATGGCAGCGGTTATGGGTCAACAACGCACTCCTCAGAACGGTGATTACCAAATTCCTGGTGGTCTCTGGCTATGCCAGCATGGTGGGGCATTCTGCGGGGTGGTAAACAGTTTATTAGCGAATCAATTTCCTCAACCACAAACGTGGCTAAAGTAAATAGAAATAGTTTTAGAAGTCAGACCGGTAATATACACCAAATGGCAAACACAATAGAAGGGAGAGAGAATTGGGACAATATGTCTACAAATATTGGGAGTCCAAAACAAATTCAAATTTCTTTTTTCGACGAAAAATCTAATTCGTTCTCTACTATTGCTGACGACCTTTCCAACAAAATATCCAGAGCTAGTTCTAACAAAAGATAATGAAACCTTCGAGTGAATTGGCTGATACGCATCCTATCCTGTGGACATTGTCGAAGTAATAATTTACTGCATTTTAATTGCGTCATATGCCTCTGCAAATTGGGTTTTTGTCATGGAAATATGGTTAATTTCTACACTCCCACAACTTTAAGAATTTCGATTTGCATCTCATTCATCCATTACTTCAGCACCGAAGCTTAATATCGAAATTTAATATCGATGCACTCAACAACAATACTATTCTATGTTTATTACTTCTAACGTTTGTCCAAGACCCTTAATTCACTCTCCTAGTAAATTTAAAAGGATATTTTGACATTGTTGAAACGTATATAATTTAGGTAAAACCAATAAGATAAACTAGCATAAGATGATATTTTTCAAAAATGTGCCTTGTAAATCAGAATTATGTTGTTATATAAAAAGATGATGAAACAAGTCCCTACATTTCATTGTAAGCATGTATATTTGAAATCTGTATAAGGAACCATATTGTATAATGTAGTATTTATTTTAATATTGTACATGTAAGCAGTCTCAAATGGGAAAAAGAACAACAAAGTGGATCTGAATTATTAATTTATGAACTGACAATTTGTGCGAAAATGGATAGGCAATACTAACGATACCATATATATATATATATTACTCGATCTTTTTTGTCAGATCGTACAAATAACATCATTGCTCTAAAATTTTAATTCGTTCGTAACTTACTTCAAGTTCAGAGTGTTTTCACAAAGTTCCAACACTTGAAGAGCAATGTATAAACGATAGTTTCCGCTTCCACTTGTACCGTTCTAATTACTGGTTCCTTGATTTATTCTCAAATCAAAGTAGAAATTGTTTTAAAGAGCTAAGTTAAAGACTGAAATTTTAGAAAATTGTTCATTAATGTTACGTCTAGTTAATAAATATATTCATAAATAAGCACAGACAGACATACATACATTTGTACATATAACTATCAAAAAATTATGTCTTTGAAATATGTAGCGAGGAATTATTAGAGATAATTACAATATTAAGATGTATGTTCAAAGAAGCGGCAACATATTTACATTAAATTCACATAGTTAGCATTAAAGAACTTTGCATAAGAGGTTGTGTAGATCTATGTGTGCCGTTTGTTTCGAATATGGTACATAAATAGTGGGAACGTTGTTAACCACATGTACGAATAACTATTGCACATATTCAAATATGTAGCTTACTATCGCAAAAATTGTTATTAAGATTACCTAGATGGAAAACAACATTAACAACTTCAAACCCGCAATCTTTCCTTTTTAACGATACTATGCAAACAAGCTAGGTTAACGCGACGGTACTATGCGATTGCGAAATCGATACTGTTTCTTGACTTTGTAGGCTTGAGCATTTTTAATGGATTCAATATTTGTTTTAGTGCAACTTACTGATAGTTGTTAAAATCGCGAAACGCCATAAATATAATTCAGATTGTTGCGACGTAAAATTCATCTAAATATTGTTCGGTTACGTAATCTAAATTTTAAAACTATCGAAATGGAAAGCAAATCGTTTTAGAAATAAATGAATGTACCAATATTTAAAACACAACGGCTAATTAATAGGTTGAAATGAACACACCTAGCTCTTAAATGCGACAGTCCATTTTTTGGCCAGTGAAATATATACGGAATGGAGGATATTTCATAAATTGTAAATAGTTAAATGCAATGGGTGTCACTTCACACTGTATATATATATAAAAGCTCTTAATTATAAGCATGATTATTTTTCACAATATTCAATTTGAATCAATTTTATTGTACTTAAGTTGGAAATTTTGGCATTATTTTTACAGTTATTCTACGTTTGTTTTATACCGACATGAATGAAATTCAGTTGTACGGTACACTACAGAAGCAGTATGTATTTAGCGT